TGTATGTATGTATGTATGTATGTATGTATGTATGTATGTATGTATGTATGTATGTATGTATGTATGTATGTATGTATAGTATAAACATTAGGGACACGGTTGCTTAGTGGCTAAGACGCTGAGCTTGTCGGTCAGAAAGGTCAGCAGTTCAGTGGTTTGAATCCCTAGTGCTGGGTAACAGAGTTCCCATTACTTGTCCCAGCTTCTGCCAACCAAGCAGTTTGAAAGCACATAAAAAATGCAAGTAGAAAAAAATAGGAACCACCTTTGGTGGGAAGGTAACAGTGTTTCATGCATCTTCGGCGTTTAGTCATGCTGGCCACATGACCACGGAGACGTCTTCGGACAGCGCTGGCTCTTTGGCTTTGAAACTGAGATGAGCATCACCCCCTAGAGTCGGGAATGACTAGCACATATGTGCAAGGGGAACCTTTACCTTATAAACATGTCACTGAAAATTCACTTCTTACACTAGCATTTAGACTATATTGAACTGTGGGGCAGTGAGGAATGAGCATGGGCAGAGATTCCACCAGGATGTCGCAGGCATGGAGAAAAGATACCAAGGGAAACAGAGTCTGTCCATGCTTGCTGATTACTGATCGTCCCCAGGGACGATCCTACTGCAGTTCACAAGAGAAAAGCCAAAAAGCACAATTTAGATACTGAATAAAGATGGAAACCTGTCATTTAATCTGATGTTAGAGCTTGTCAGTTTTCCCTGCAAAAAGCATGAAAATGTTACATGAAAAAAACCAATAAATGAATGGAAAGTTATGTTATTGGTCTCAATAAAAAGATAAACTTATAATGATTGCTGTGGCTCCCTTCTCACTGCTAGATCACTTTTTGAAGAGAAGCTACGGAGCATAATCGCGCATCCTTCTCCTAATTTTGAATTGTTTGGATGCAATTTTGACCTGAAGCTGTATTTTTGAAACTGGAGCCAATTAATACTCAGGACTTAATTTTCCTTTACTAGTGACCCAATTCTGGTAAAATTAAGCTACTCTCATTTCCGGGGCTTTCTCCTTGTAGACCAGTGTAAGCGATGCTCTGAGGAATATTCTCTGAATTATTTTCGGCAGCTCCTGGTTCAGTTTGACTTACAGTATCCTCAAGCCTGGTGCTTTGCTTCTCCTCTCACATCCAATATTTGTCTAGTTTTTTGCAAGGTTATCTTGCTGACCCAAACACTGTCCTGAGCTCCTTTACACAATTTATTTCCATTATTCTGTTATTTTTTCGATAAAAGAATGAAAAGCAACATAATGTTTTGGGGAAAAAATGAAAGGAGACTGTTATTGTTCTGACATAGGCTTCCTGAGACAGTAAAAAGCACACACTTAATCCCCAAAACCCTCTTTTTATTTCGACGGCTGTGAATTATGTTCATTCACAGCTCGTAATGAGTCACAAATAGTTTGTAAAGAGTCTGACAGAAGTCTGCCACAGTCTTTCGGGATATGGCTGATAAGCACCCACCTTGAAACGCTGCCAAAGACTTAATTAGCAATTAGCTTTGCAAGGCCACACAGAGCACAGAGTCAAAACAGAGCTTCAGAGTTTAAACTGACCAGAATGAACGAAGTTGCTTCTTGCAAAGGTGCATGTGTTTTTGCTCCTCCTTTATGTCTTATGGTGTGGGGCCAAACATCTCCAAGCCTTACTCCCAAGTTGCCCCTTTTGCCTTAACTGTTCTTGCCTTCTGGCAGCTCTGCGCATGCACTCAATGGGAACAGGCTCCCCCTGTTCTTCTGCCTTGCTGATGTCCAACTCTGGAGGTTCTGGAGGCAGCACATAATTCCCAGATGTCGCTGAACCCCCCTCTGCCTCCGATGCAGAGCCCTTGTCTGAACCTTCCCCAGACTCCAGAACTGGCCCATGTTCCTCCCCAACCTCCTGACTGTCCGACTCTACTGTCAGCTCCCCAGGCTACTAGTGGACTACAAGAGTTATGTATTTCTAATTCATAGATCAAAACCATTGCAGAACATGGAAGATGCATTAAAAACATGCAAAACCACAAATCCTCCATACTTTTTTATTTAGCTTATTTTTTTTAGCAGCGAATATCTTGGGAAGTAACCTGACTTTTCAAGCCTCATAGAACCGAGAGAGGGAAAAGGCAGCCCCATTGATCCGCCAGTAATGGAAAACACACCGATAAATGTTTTCTATCTGCCTCTCTTGCCAATAAGGAACATTAACTGAATATGTAGACTTCATCTTTTTGATAATGCCTTCCTTCTCGTCTCAGTGCAAGGAGGCTGTTAAAACCAGGAAATGAAAAGGCATCCTTGTCTGTCCTTGTTGTTAAGGCTTGCGCATGGAAGCACATGTCAAAAGGGCCATATTACTCTCTGGTTGTTTTAAGGCAGCTGCTGAAGGGATTTCTTTGATTAGTACGTTCAATCTATTTTTGTTGGTCTGATAACACTCTGACCCTGCAGCTTGACTCAGGCCATTTCAACAAGAAGCAATTTACAGCGTCTTGTAGCATGACCAGATAGTATCATTATCGAACAGATCTCAAGCTTGTCCTCATTAGTAATGATGGTTAGAAACTAGAATATGTTCTAAGTTATTAGATGGAAATGAGCAAGATATGAACAGGGGATCATTTCACACTGACATCTTCCTAAGCCCTATAGTGAAGAATCAGAATAACGGAGTTGGAAGGGACCATAGACAGGAAACCCTATGCCCGTGATGGTGAACCTATGGCACGCATGCCGGGAGTGGCATGCAGAGCCATCTCTCTGGGCACGTGAGCTGTCATCCGTTGCTCTTCTGGGTTCCAGCGCACCGGCCAGCTGGCCTTCACATGCGCAGGAGCACCAGAAACCGGAAGAGCAGCTGCCTGGCGGCATGTGTATGCCAGGCAGCTGCACTTTTGGTTTCCGCTGTGCGCATGCAAACCGGGAAGCTGATCTTCACACACCCAAAATCAGAAGACCAGGTGGCCGGTATGCATGCATGCGCCGAAACCGCAAGAGCAGTTGCCCGGCGCCTGCATGCCAAAAAGGTTCACCAGCACTGCCCTATGCCGTTTCAGAAAAATGGCTGTCCAATCTCTTCTTCAAAGCCTCCAGCATTGGGAGCACCCACAATTTCTGGAGGCAAGTCGTTCCACTGATTTAACTGTTCTGTCAGGAAATTCCTCATTTCTAGGTTAGTTCTCTCCTTGATTAGTTTCCAACCATTGCTTCTTGTCAGGACAATTGATTTAATTTGGGATCCTCTGGTTTGCAAAGTCTTATATTTGTTCTTATTGGTTTAATGTTCTCAGCATTTTTCTTGGTGTCTCTCTAGTAGAAACCTACCTCTTTTCCCCTCTCCCATATTCTAAGCGATGATCCAGTAACTGCTATTATTTGGGGAAGGAATCTTCACAGCTCTGAAATTCAAAAAAAAAATTCAACAGAGAGAATTCTTCATCCTAGGAGACAAGGAACACATGAAGGAGTCCATAAAGGAGACAAACCAAGAGCAACAGGTGTTTTTTTTTTTTTACAAAGCCAAAAACAGCCCAGCAAAGTAATAGTAGTTAGACTTATATACCGCTTCATAGGGCTTTCAGCCCTCTCTAAGCGGTTTAGAGTCAGCATATCGCCCCCACAGTCTGGGTCCTCATTTCACCNGTATGAAGCGGTATATAACTGCTATTGCTATTGATGAAGAGAATCTAAAGATAGAATCTTGGGTTGTTTGAGTTGTATTTGATTTCCAATATAATGGGCTGAATAAGGAACGCATTAACTCACTGATAAAGATGGCAAATTGTTTGTCCTGTGACACTTTCACCTTTGGGCTATGCACTACATGTAAAGTATACCGGGCTCGGCCAGTGTCTTTGCTGCAGAGATCCAGAGAGATGGTCCCTACATTGGAGTTCTTATTGAGTTGATTCTGCAGCAGAGAATAGTGTTGCCTCTCCTTCACTGCATCAATTAGATGCTCGCTGTTCTTGAACCGGGCAGGTTTCTCTTGGGCTTCCGTAGAGAGCTCCAAAATGCATAAAACTGAGCCAGGGACTGGTCTTAACTTTGTCATAACATAAACAAAGACAGGCAAAGCAAATTCTTGTTCTGAAGGTTCTGTTTTCTGGCCAGGGACTTGATGTACTCGAACCATCCAACCTTTCCGAAAGAAATATTCCACGGCTGCCTTCAATACGTGCGCCTGAGCCAAGGAGACACATAGGTAGCGCCCCCCAAATTGCAAGACACGGGCAATTTCAGCAAACATTCTTTCAGCTCTATTCAGAGTGGTTTCTTCTTCATCAGTCAGCAGAGCATCAAGAGTGCCTTTATCAAACACCACCTGGAAATGCTCATCAGGGAAATCCATTTGCAGTACATCCATTACCATGTAAGTCATTTTGGGCCTCAGTTGTGTGCTGCGTTCCTGCATCTGCTTAACAACCCGTTCGTTAATGTCCACACTGACGATATCGTGATGGCCTTCATCATACAGCTGCTCACTGAGTTCTGAATTACCACAGCCAACAACAAGAATCTAGCGGAAAAGCATGGGAGAAATGTCATGTTCCTTTTAGGGATGTCAAAATTATTCCTTACGTTCAAGGTTCAAGGTTCATTTTATTTATATGCCGCCCTATTCCCGGCGGGAAACAGGGCATCGCACAAACCCAAGGAGGGAAAGGGAAACGCAAAAACTACAACAAAAAGTACAGGGCATTTAAAACAACCAACAGCCACACGATTCGAGAGGGGAAGGGAACTCATCNCTAGGGTCTTAGATTTGTGGTAGTCTTTACTGAGATGGCAGAAAAAAGATTTTGACGCTGTGTTTTTGGTATTTCTTACAGGCACGAGGCACTGCCGAATTTATTTTAAGTATCAATTTCTCTTGATCACCTAACCTTCCTAAAACGTTTAAGGTATCTGGCTTGAATAGACCCATATTTTGCTATCACACACAAACTGAAGTTTAAGTACTAGGCCAAGACAGCTGATTGCTGTTCCTCCCTGCTCTAGCAGCAGTAATAATCAGGTTAGAGGTCCTGAGCAGCCTTTGTTTCTGCAGAAGAAATATCATGGAACAAATTAATTTTGCTTCTGCTATACAAAGAGGTTATCAAATTCATACAGCATTGCTCAAAAATATCACATCATCACTGAAAAATTAAAGGAGGAAAAAAATTACCAAGAGCTTTTAATCATATAGCTTCTGAATATTAGTTGCTAAAAGTATCAGCAAGGAAGTGCTACTATAATTTCATCCTGCTTGTTGGCTTCCCCTAGGTCAGTGTTTCTCAACCTTGGCGACTTAAGTCCTGTGGACTTCAACTCCCAGAATTCCCCAGCACAGCTGGCTGGGGAATTCTGGGAGTTGAAGTCCACAGGACTTAGAGTTGCCAAGGTTGAGAAATACTGCCCTAGGTATTCAGTGGTCACTGCTAGAGAAGATCAGAGAGCTAAACAGACCTTTTACTGGTCATTAGCCAGACAAAAGACATACCTGCTGCTGAGCTGGAAGCCCAGCGGGGGCCAGTTCCATCACTTTTTCTGACAGTTCGGCCTGGATGGCTCCCATGTTGTCATAGTGTTGATTTCTATGTAGGGCCACAGTTACCAGACGCCAAAATCCTGCACTCACGGCCAACTGCTTCCGTCCTTCCTCCGTCCCAAAGAGCCACTCAGTTTCTCTGCCCTGTGGGACTAGATCAGGCAACAGAAGAGATTTGTGCTCATCAAAAATATAGACCTTTCAATGCACATATTTCAATTTAACGAGTTATGTAAAGCAGAACAAATTTCCTGTTCTCATGTTACAGCTTACTGCTTTCCTTGGTAATTCACTTTGTTAACCATAATTCTTAAAATTTATCCTTGCATAAAGCTTTGATCAACTTTCTTAGAATAATATATTATATTCAATTATTCACAATTAATCATATATTGGAAATAGCAATAGCAGTTAGACTTATATACCACTTCATAGGGCTTTCAGCCCTCTCTAAGCGATTTAGAGTCAGCATATCGCCCCCACAGTCTGGGTCCTCATTTCACCCACCTCGGAAGGATGGAAGGCTGAGTCAACCTTGAGCCGGTGAGATTAG